ACCTCACTGGGTCGAACTAGGTGTTTCATTTTGAGAAAGTAGTAGCATTATCTTCATAGAAGACTATAAGCAACCTACTGTAATAAAATGAGTTTCAACTTTCAAGGATAGCGATCAGTCGGTCATCATACTCAAGTTCTGATTTTTATTTTTATTTGTGAGAATGAATTGATCAAGCCCCATATAATAACTATAAATAGATAAACATAAACATCTGCACCTTTTTTTCCCTTGAAAGGAAACTGTGGGGCAAAAGACCCCCCAGCATTTTATTTAACGCCAAAAAGAAACCCACACCCTAACACCTACCACAGAAACTAAACTGAGCAAGGAGCTTAACAAAAGCTCAAGAGAGGCCACAGGAGGTTACAAAGTATTCAACCAATCCATAATCCTTGTGTGAAGAGTAGCTTTGATACTGGATAAATGCACAATCACTTCAATCTGCACCTTTGTAGCCATACCCTGTGTCAATCAACAGTATATAGTATGCACCAGCACCACAATAATCCTCTTGCATTGCAGCTGTCGAACATTATTGTTTACTCTCTTGCCAAAGAGGACATGAGAGGGATTTTGTTGAACTGTTCCTTGAATTGTGCCATGTGGGTTGTGGAGTACAGTATATCGCAAAGTCTAAGAACCACTGTGTTGGCATTAGTGGGCGTGCTTCCTGTGAAATACGAATCTTCAGTTAGATGCCTATCAACAGCACCTTGGTCAAAGCTGCTAAAGTTTGATATATTTGATTATATGAAGAAACTGTAGCTACTGAATTCTGGAATTAGCTGTGTTATCTGAAGTCTTAAATCTTAATCCCCTGGCTGTGTTCTGTAACTGCAGTAGCTTGATTCCGAAGCCTGAATACTGGGGTGGCTACAGATTGACACCAACACTTTTTGAGTTCTGGCAAGGACAACAGTCTCGACTGCATGACCGGTATGCTTCAATCATCCTTTATTCTGTTATCCATTTTCCTGAAAACCCTGTAAGCCCCAGGACGGGACAGCATGTATGTTGATACGTGTGATACCTTGATGTAAACAGGCTACAATACTCGCGGAGAGAAGTAGATGGGAGTACAGTGTGGCACATCGAGAGGTTGTCCCCTTGACGCTAACTTGATAACACTTTGGTTGAGCTTATCACCAGCAGTCAAATCTTCTCCAGCTGCAAGATGTCCCAACTGCCCCAAGATGTTAGCGTGGTGATTAGATCCCGTGTTTGAGTGCCAGAACCCAGACGCTCAGTTCTATTCGGATACTCTTTTCACATGGGCCTTCCATCATAGCGGTGGGTGAACAAGTCATCACTCACGAATTTTTTTTAATTTTAACATTTTTTTAAATTAATTTTAAATCTAACACTTGATGTTTTTTATTTATAAAACTAATATTTTTGGCCGCGCCTATTACTATGGCGCGGCGAAATGCCTGTGCCGCGTCATGCATAGTGACGCGGTAAGAAGGCTGACGTGGCGACGATCGGAACGCTGACTTATGACGTGGTAGGGTGCGCCGCGCCATCGATCTTGGCGTGATGCCGCCGCGCCATCCATCACGGCGCGTCAGAGCCAGTTAGAGGCAGGAGCCAGCGGCTGTGGCGTGCGTGCGTACTCCTACTACGCAGCGCAGCGCGTGCCAGGACGTGCGTACTGGCTGGTCACGGTCTGCACGTGGAGGTCTGCTCCTCTGCAGCAGTGAGCAGTGTGAGGTCTTGTTGGAGGGGAAAGCCCGAACCGAAAGGGCGTGGGCGTGGCACACATGTCTCGGATCGGTCACCAGTCACCACACCTCTGCTCTGCACACATGTCTCGGATCGGTCGAACGAAGAAGCTCCAGAACATGTGCAGGCCGGGCCGGCCAGGGTGAACGGCGCTAGCTGGCTCAGGCTGTTCCCTCTGTTGTTTGCTTGCTTGGTCCTTGGTGGTTTCGTGCCGGCAGTCATGGCGCCCATTTACTTTTTGACACACGGTGATTTTTCATCAAGTTCAGGCTGTGCATTTCCCTCCGTGAGCCAAAAGCAAAATGCACGTGGCATCAAAACATTGGATGAAAGTTTCGCAAAAAAAAAAGACTTGCATTTTTACCTCTGTTTTGTATCGAAATTATGATTTTATTCCTTTTTTTTTGACTTTGTGAATTTGTCCCTACGTTTTTAAAATGAAGCACTACTTTACCCCTATTCCGTCATCCTTCCCTAACAGTGTTAACATTTGTACAAAATGATAGAAATGCCCGGCACATTAGCAATATTGTATAATCTTTAACAGGAGTTCACTGGAACATAGGCGCCATCAACTCAACATATACTAGTTTTCGAAAAAGAAACACAAATCCGTAACACGTAGCACTGCCGTATCCATACAAGCATGCGGATTCGTCTCGAAATAGTCCAACGCCGCATGTAGGCATCCGTCACGGCCCCCGCGGCGCGCGCACCAACCGCACGACGCGTGGTAGAGAGCCAGAGACGACGCCAGCTCCCCCGTGGGGCACACGGTGCTGGTCGGCATGATAGCGTTGGGCGTTGGCAAAGTACCCCACGGGGGGAGCGGAACCGCGGCCGCCCATCCACCGTGAACAGCAGCCTGCTCCGCCGCGACGGCCGTATCCCCGGCGCCCGCTCCACACGAATCGTTTATTTCCTGTCCATATAAGGACATTCAAAGTAGGGACAAATGGATCGTTTATTTTAAAATAGTAGGGATAAAATCACGAAATTGAAAAAGTAGGGATAAAAAGGATACGGGCAAGATCACAATTCTCAAAAAAAAAAAACATAACATAGTACTAGTACTAGTCAAGACAAGAGTGGTGTGGAGTGGGATGTTTGGTGTCCGTCCATGCCGGCCGGAGGTGGGTTTAGGTGGTTGCAGCTGCAGCAGGATGGGCTCAGTCGTGAAGCATGCGTGCCATGCCATGCTATGCCATGGAACTGTGGAGAGAAGGCAGCAACGGGGAGGGGACCCAGGGGACATGTGTGCAGAGCAGAGGTGTGGTGACTGGGGACCTGCGTCCACGCCCACGCCCTTTCGGTTCGGGCTTTCCCCTCCAACAAGACCTCACACTGCTCACTACTGCAGAGGAGCAGACCTCCGCGTGCAGACCGTGACCGGCCAGTACGCACGGCCTGGCACGCGCTGCGGTCAGCAGCACTGCTGCTCGCCTGCGCTGCGTAGTAGGAGTACGCACGCACGCCACAGCCGCTGGCTCCCTGCCTCCATCCCAGTATTTGCTTTGTCGTTGGAAAACTCTGACGCGCCGTGATGGATGGCTAACTGGGCGGCGCCGCGCGATCAGATGGATGGCATCGGCCGCGCGATATAAACCATGCCACATCGTCCATTAGCGTTTTGGTCGTCGCGCACGTCAGTCTTCTTGCTGTGTCCGTACATGGCACAGCACAGGTATTTTGTCACGTCATGGTAATAGCCAGCGGCTAAAAGTGTTAGTTTTAGAAATAAAAAACATCAAATGTTAGATTTAAAATTAATTTAAAAAAGTGTTAAAATTAAAAAAAATTCTCACTCACCGGTTTCTTTAAGCCCTTTCGTTTCTCTTCTGTAGGGCGTGTTTGAAACGTGGTTTTTTCATAGGAATTTTGGAGGATTTCATTCCTCTGAAAAGAAAGCCTGTGAGAGCATTTGGAACACAGGAAAGTAATCTTTCCTTTCCTATGGAACACTGTAGCTTCTTCATGGTTTCACAGGAAAGCAAAACTCCACTTCAATCTCTGGTTTCTGATTCCTTCGCGGAAGGCCAAGGGCCCAAGGTGACTACGGCGATAATTTATCGGAAGAATGGTTGTCTACTGCTAAAAACGGGTGGATGAGTAAGTGCATGAGTCCCACAATTGGAAAAAGAGTTTGGTAACTACTTCCGTGTATAATAGATATAGTAATTAGTACCTATATTTGTCTAACATATTATAATTCCTATGTTATAAATTCCTGTGTTCCAAACAGCCTAAAATTTCTGTTCCTGTGTTGAAATCCCATAATTTTTCATTTTTCATTATACTTTATTCCTACGTTTTTTTCTATTTCTACGTTTTTTCCTATTCCTACGTTTTGGATTTCTTTGTTCCAAACAGGACCTAAATGGCATCCATCGATCCAGGTATTTAAATCTTGCCGATTGTGGACTTATTGCGCCGTGATACACTAATACTGCAGAAATAATGCTCTTGAGAATGGCTTTGTCAGCACCGAGCTAGTAAATAAAGATGCAATTTGATTTATGCCTTTACGTCGGCGTCTTGCATCTGTATTTAACGTGTGCGTGCCATGGGTTGAAATTGTGTTTGTGTTGCACCAGCCTGTGTGCGCAGAATTAGACAGCAGTCAATGCGCTATGGCGGTGCATTGCAGATTTGGAGGTGCATTACACTGTTGTTCAAGCATGCAGGTTAGCACCGGTCACTACCTTCGCAATGGAGAAATTACTAATGGTTAAGTTCCTTTAAAAAATCCTATTCCCGATGTAACATTACGACAACTCCTAATTGAATTATAGAAATTCACCATTGGATTCTCTTGTAACAGTAATGCGATTCAAAAAAAAATAACTTTGGAGCCTTTTTCGAACAGTAAAGAAGAAAACTGCTGGAGTTACTACGAAATTCCATTTGTTGACCTGTAAGATTTTATAAGATGTGATCCTGTTTTTACTAGGCTCCAGTTAACATACTCACCGTGTTTCAAATTATTGGTCACTTGTCATGAAACTTTTGGGGGGCCCACCAACATCCCGCCCGCACGCCACCGCGGCACTGCCCATGCCTAGCAAAACAAAACCCAGCCCGAGGTATCGCCCGCCCGCTTTGTTTCGTCTCAAAATCAAAAAATTCGTCTCAAGCAAATAAAGAAAAATCTTTACCGAACCCCTCGCCCGACCTTCACCCACGCGCACTCCGCCGCCTCACTCGTCCGTGCCTCCGCCGCCGCTTTCGTTGCTCACGAGCGACACAGCCGGAGCTAGCAAGGGAGGGAGGAGGCGATGGCGGGGGGCGGGGATAAGGTTGACTACGTCTTCAAGGTGGTGCTCATCGGCGACTCCGCTGTCGGCAAGTCGCAGATCCTGGCGCGCTTCGCCCGCAACGAGTTCAGCCTCGACTCCAAGGCCACCATCGGGGTAGAGTTCCAGACCCGGACGCTTGTAATCGACCACAAGTCCGTCAAGGCTCAGATCTGGGACACCGCCGGGCAGGAGAGGCAAGTCCACTCTCTTTTCGCGTTCCTCCTCGTCGATCATTTTTTTTTCTTTTTTGTTGTCGTGGGTGGGTGGGTGGGGATCTGGGTGGTGATGCCGAGCAGTGAGCTAGCGCAGCGCGCTTTAGTCATTTTGAGCTTGATTTCTCTCTATTTCGCATTTTTCGGGTGTCAGGTCGATGCATTGTTAGTGTGAGCCCTTGTTTAGTCGGGTGAATTTGGATTTTGGGCTACTGTAGCACGTTTGTTTTTATTGGGTAAATAGTATTCAAACATGGACTAATTAGGCTCAAAATGTTTGTCTCGCAATTTCCCACCAAACTGTGCAATTAGTTTTTATTTTCGTCTATATTTAATGCTTCATGCACGGGCCGTAAACATTCGATGGGACAGGTACTGTAGCAACTTTTTGGATTTTGGGTCCAACTAAAACAAGGCGATGATTTTGAAGTGGTGCGAGCGAAGTACAGTAGTTACGAACGATTTATGGTACATCATTGTTGCACCAAAGGTGGTTAGTACAGTCACCCAGTTGTCAGCTTAGCTTGCCTTACCTTTCACCCTACGAAGGGAATTAAATGGAGTGTCCTGTGCCACTGATTGCTTCTGTTATGAGTCTGTTAAAATTGTGTGTATTTTTGGGCGTTATACAGATGCAGCGTTGTGAACTGGCCTGATACATCATAACATTTTTCTAAATACTAAAACACTATTGTTAGTTGTAGCATGTGCTGTCAAAGTTAAGCATAACACTCCTGTTGTCATCCGTGACATGGTGGGAAAATGTTGAGCAAAACCAATATTTTTTCATTTCGACCCCAGGCAGCCTTCAATTGTTCTACCTGTGGCCTCTAGAAACAGCCTGCTAAATTTTATTTTCGTAGTCCTACAGATCCTGAACTCAGCAGTGTGGATTTAGCAGAAACAACGGTCTTGTGGGTGCATTGGTCGGATACGGAACATGCTTTACTAAATATGCTAGTGTTTTTATTGTATGTCATAGGTATCAAAGGTAGCGAGTTATGCATGGTGTTCTCATTTTTCCAAGGGTTGGTTGGGTCCGTAAATGATGGACAAGATTTACTAAATAAAACATTCTTTGCTGCATGTGGCTGGTGCTATGGTCTTGTAGTCATAGGGTGTGTGTGCCACCGCATGATACAGAATTGTCACTAGAGCTGTGTGCTGTTCTTTGCTTTTTCGACACTGGAAGTTGTGCTGTCTGGATAATGTCCACAGACCACATGATGCAAATCTTTCCCTTGAAATCGCCGAGGAATAATATTAGAAATATGATGAAAAAGTAATATTTTTCATATGGATAGTGAATTGATGCTGTAAATTCATCTTGTACCTCAATATCCGTGGAAATAGGTGCCGAGCTTGAGAGATTAAAGGAGTGAACATAGGAAGGTTGTAGTAGTTATCCTTCGTGCATGATACTTCTCGGGTATGCTTTTTTGCGCTCATTTAGTATACTTGTTTGTGCTATGTAGTAGATATCATTTGAACTTAAAGTAAGCAAATATTGATCTGCTTTGATGAGCACACACATGGTTCATTTCATTTCTTTTCAAAAACAATAGGTGAATCAACTTGAGGAGCCATGGGCTCATCACACGTTGCAATATATTTAACACCTGTATGAATTCTGTTTAACTATACTGACATAAGATCAATTATTAGTGCAGTTCCATATTTTCCTCTTCTTGTTTGTTTGCAGACTATCTAAACTAGAGTATACTGATACCAATTGCCATACTATTGTTTAGACCTAGGATTTGATGAAACAAACTTGAACCTTTTGATGTCGAAAATTTGCAGATTTTCCTAGCAAATAAAATTGGTGCACTCTTGACGTTGAAAATAATCTTACATCATGTTATGCTCGCGTTCATTAATACAATGTGCATGGGGAAGGGGTGGCTCAGATGTGCTCATAGCCGTGGAAGGATAATCTTCCATTTTTTGTGGATGATCTGAAACTTCGACATATTTTGTGTTTAAAGGTAGTTATTTGTTAGGCTTCTTGTTGATCAATGTGCAATTACTGAAATTTTTGTTGGTCGCATTTTATTGTAACTGTATGTCTGCATCTGCAAGAATATTGATGGAAGGGTTAGTAACACATATGATCCATTCTTGAAATAGGCATGTCAGTAGTTTGACCAGTTTTTACTATGTACTTCAAATGTAGTAATATAAAACTCTTGCAATAGTCATATCATTATTTAGTTTAATCCTGATGCTTGTTTTCCTGTTTATAGAATTATAAGTTGATGTTTTTAATGTCTGCATCAAAATGGAGAGTTTGTTTTGCATCTTTTCTTGTATTTGTATAGATTAAATAGAAATAAGCCCATTTTTAAACCTTAAACTTCTGCAAGTCCAATTCATTTCTGTTCACACATGGTTCATTTCATTTCAAGTATCCAAACTGGACATTTTAGATCCCTCATCCCAATTGAAGCTGGTTTTCAGCTGATGTGGCGGTGGTTTTGATTAGATCAACCTGCCCTGTTCCCTTCCTTGAGGCTTCCAAGTTCAAGCCATCATCCATGGAGTGCAGACCCTGCCTGCTGCCAGCACCCCCCCTGCCTCTGGAACAGCAGCCGAGGCAACAGCTTCCGCTTAGTGCTTGCTAGCCAAGTCACATGAGTTGGGTAAGGCAAAGCTGTGGGCAAGGAATTAACTAGGAGACAGATGTGGCTGCCCCCTACTGCTGCTTCCCCAAAGAAGAAAAATGAGAGATTAGAGAAGCCATGGCCATTCCAAGGGTGAGAATCTGGAGGCTGGAGCCAGATCTGGAGACGGCCCCAGGTTGGCAGGTTACCAATTAAAGTCCTTTTCCACTTGCTGTGCTCCAACAAACTTTTCTATTTTCCATCTGTGCGAAGATAGGAGAGCAGGCCGTGCACCTTCTGGCCAAATTTTGGCAGGTGTGCCACAAACGCTCATGATGAACTCACACAGGCTGCTGCAAAGGGAGACAAAGATGGATGTAGAGGAATACATGGCCTCCACGTCCACGATTCTTTTATTCCTATTTGTGTGATTTGGTTGCCATGTGTGAAGAAACACTGAAAAATTGAAGGAAAAAACATGAAAAATCCATGTGGACACCTGGCAGTGCCATGCAGCAAAACAACTCCATGTCTCTGCGCCAAATTGGACAACCACTTTTAAATGGTCTTAGGGTCTGATCAGTTTGAATGCTTCAGGGGGCTAAAGATGTCTGGTAGTGAGTTTGATGGCTAAAGTTGGAATCTGATAATAATTTGTGGGTCAAAAATGGATTTCTTCCTATTAAATATCATGGCACAAGTTCTTTTGCATCATTCTTGTTTATTTTTGAAATGTGCAAAGTTTCTATAAGATAATTTTGTTTCTCTGAGAACTGACCACAATTTGGAATGATTTGTTCAAATTCCTTCCTGACCATTCCTGTTGTAGCTGTTACCTATGCCTATGATTTCAAACAGCACACATTCTTTATTCTGCTGCAATCATACCAATATTTTATTTAGGCTGCTGCTGTTGTTTTTCCTATTGTTTCTCATTTGAACTATATTTTGATTCCCACTGATGCATCCGATGCATGATAGGTTGCCTACTGTTAATTTTATGCATTGGACTTCCTGCATATTAGTTAGCTGCCTGTCTGTACGCATAGCTTTCATCCTGTAGATAAAGAAACAACCCCAGTTGGGTAGGGATGCAGATTTTATTGGGTCGACCCAATGACCCACTAGCCTATACATAAACTGTAGTATAAATACCCTGGTTTGGCCCACTAAATTTTGGTTCCAGTTGGTGTCAATGTCAAGCACTCCTGGTCTCAAGTAGCCCAATCACCACCCACTGCGATGGCGCTGTCTCTTGCCTTGGGCCCTGGCACTACCTGCATTGCCAAAGCTGAAGATGCCGTGGATGAGGATGATGGCGGCTATGATCTGTTAAGCATGATGGTGTGGTGCCCCTGCACTTGTCAGTCTCTCCCACAATGGCTACGTGCCTCCTTGTTGAGCCTGCGTGAGGCGGCTGCCGCTGTAGGGGGCACCCTGACATCCCTGCTGCTTGCTGAGATGTCAGCGGCCATGGCTGTGCTGCAGATGCAGAAGGTGAAAATCAGGTGCACCAGCTCGTTACCCTGGAGCTCCATTGGGTTGAACCACAATCTGTACCAGTCACCTCAGCCTGAGTGACCATGGCCTGACCTGTCGTACCATTTGTCGTTGACCTCCCTCTCCCTCTGCTTTGCCATTTTTCTTGTACCTCGAGCTGGAGGCACTGCTTGCGTCAACCGTGCAGACATGCTTCAGTGCCATGGCCGCCACCTGCTGGTGTGCCATACCAGGCCTCGAGTGCTCCAGCACCATCCTTGTTCACGGGTCCAACGCCCCTTCGTGATGGCTTTCTGCATCAAGGTGAAGTGAATCAGCTGCCCTCCCTCCCTCCCTGCCTTCTTGCTCCTGTAGCAAATTGAGATTTTGCTTCTTGTGCTGCCGCTGTTGTGATCAGGTAGCAGCAAAAAGACAGGCTGGAGTACCTAAGTGCACATATCTTCATTACTGAAGCCCTCCCTGACCCACTGGGCCAACTGGTTTCAGGACCTCAATGAATTTGGTCAGCCCAAAGCCAATAAATAGCTAAATGTAGGTTGGATCAAGGATTGGGTTGATCCATTGCAACCCAGCTGCACCGCTGCAGTTGACACATCATGTGATAGCAGTTCACACTTTTATCTGAAACATCATATCTTTGTTTTACTACCTAGTAGCTTGGGAGCTTCTCATGCTTATTGTTTCAACTACCGCAGGTATAGAGCTGTCACAAGTGCCTACTACAGAGGTGCTTTGGGAGCTCTGCTAGTCTATGATATCACGAAACGCCAGAGCTTCGACCACATACCTCGCTGGCTGGAAGAGCTTCGGGGCCATGCTGACAAGGACATTGTCATCATGCTGGTCGGCAACAAGAGTGACCTCGAAGAGGAGCGTGCTGTAAGCACCGACGATGCCAAGGAGTTTGCCGAGAAGGAGAACCTCTTCTTCCTAGAGACCTCCGCGCTGCAGGCGACCAATGTTGAAAATGCCTTCCAGACCGTCTTGACAGAGATCTTTAAGATCCACAGCAAGAAGAACATGGCAGCGGACCCAAAGGCCAATGGGGCCGCACCATCACTGGCAGGGAAGAAGGTCATCGTCCCAGGTCCAGCTCAGGAGATCCCCAAGAGCAAGTGCTGCAGTTCCATGTGACATGTTGCCTGGATTTATTTGGGTTTGTTTGTGTCCAAATATTCTCGATATCTTTGTGGATGTACATCTATACTGGAATAGGCTTAGATTTGAATTGCTGGTTATCTTTATGTTCGGATTGAAGTGAACGATATCATAGTTTAGATTTGTCACCCGTCTCCAAGGTGACACGAGGATAGGGACCGAGGAGAAAAGCTTTGTTTGCAGACTTGTTGGATTAATTACAAAAATAGAAGTGTACGCAGATCAATTTTACGATGCCTTGAAACCTTTGTGTACAGCGAGACACTAATACAATTGTATCAACCTGCTTGTGTGATTCCCTTCGGTGTGTACATGTACCGTCTGCACCGTATGGGTTTAATAACACGAAACTGTCTGGATTATAGTGTCATTTGTTTTCCACAAGACAGAATATTCCTATATATAATATGGTGGTGCGTAGGCTGCATACGCAGAGAGCAGGGTTGGATTGGGCTCAAAAACAAACGCGCATGCGCACAAACAAAATAAAAACCATATATGGATTAGTACTTGTGCTAAACTAGCAAAAGTGTCCAAATATTGCAGCGGGAGAAAAAGAGTACTAAGATACGTGGGAACATCTCAAATAAAAATTGAAATGGAGAAGTGTTCTTCCTAGCCAATGTATGCATGCCTTTCCTGACACCAGTCAAATAAATTTTCTACCCATTATTTTCTTCTAATGGAGAAGTGTTCTTCCTAACCAATGTATGCATGCCTTTCCTGACACACCAATCAAATAAATTATCTACCCATTGATTTCTTCTATTATTGTCAACTTCCATGTAATGTTCCCTGGATACGATAGTCGACATCAATGGCATTGCCACGTGATGTGCTTAGCACAGCCGTTTTACCACCTTAAGGATCTGCTAGTCATTTGAGAAAGTTGCATATATCATACTAATGGTTAATTTCATTAGTACTCTTGGATCACTGATGTAAGGTGCTCTTTTGATTAGGGCAGCCAATGGCAATGGTGACACGGTCACGCGGTCGAAACCAGCGCCAATAGTTAAGGGATACCAGCATTTGTTTGGTTGGTGGGTGACGTATGAGGGGACAATGCTATCCTCCAAGTTGAACCAGAAGAGTACGTTCTTTGTCAACTAGGAAACTCCTTGCTCAACTGGTACCACAAAATGCTAGGTTTCGGCTGAACAACCGGAATCATCCAGGATGGACGGAATCAGCTAGAACCATGAAAGGTAAGGAATTGGATCTCTAATGTTCAAGTCTAGACGACAATGTGAGGTAATCCGGCCCAAACCAGAAAGACACTTTTGTTGAGCTATCTTCTTGTTTCGTATAGGGAATTCTCTCTTTGATTATTTACAGAATTTAAGTAGTGGAGTGATAGAAGGATTTGGTTAGTAGCATTAATGTGTGCTTTCACTACAGTATACATGGGATCTATGATGATCTGATTATGTCACAAATCTTGGAGAGTTCATCACAATAGTGAAATCTATGGCGTTTGCATTGTAGAAGTCTATTTTGTCATAACTCATATATGTTATTTATGATGAAAACATATTTTTTGACATAGATTTTATTGGGATCCTTCTTTTATCGAAAATTTATGACGCTTGATTTTCGTCACAATCTAATACAAAAATGTTACTAAATGCCTTGAGGCCTATTCAGGCCCACACAGTGACAATGCTATTAGTGGGCCAAAATATAATTATAGGCCTAATTTGTTATGGGCGGAGGTCATTTAATAAACAATATAAATTTACACTAGTTTAGGTCCAATTCTGTTATAGTCAAATTTGGGCCTAAAAGCCATTCATGTGACAAATATTTAGTTTATGGTCTATTTATTTATATGGGCAGAAACAATCCAAGTCTAGACTTCAAATAGGTTTGAACCATTCATAGCCTTTTGTTTATAGAACGAGCCCACTTACGGATCTAGAACATAATCGGTCCATTTACATACCCAAGACAAAATTGGCCCATTTGAGCATCCATGATAGAATCGACCTGTTATAAGTTTCACAAACAAAACATCTGTTACGGCCCATATATAAACCCAAAATTCATCAAGTACAATTCATATGCATACATCAATCACAACATAAATACATGACAATCCATATAAATGCAACATCACAACCATATATCAATCCATAGTCATTCCAAAAGATAAATTACTATGGTCACATTCACATGTGCCTAAACTTTTTGAAATCCTACTACTATGGCACTGTTGTATGAAACATAAGAAGTTATCATTATCTTAAAATGGTAAACATTCAAGTTTGAACCTTGAAACTAGTGTCTGACTGCTAATTTTTAAAAATCAACACAAGGTTATAACAATAGGCAGCTTGGTTGGTAGTCTCCACCTATCTCCTCCCTCTGTCCCTTTGTAACTGTCATTCTCACATATCGAGGATCGGAGTCAAACGTACTTAACTTTGATCAAATATATACAAGTGATTACTAATATTTATGGTGTGTAATAAGTATCATTAGATTAACAATTCAGAATATTTTTTAGAAAGGACGACAAAAGCTTTGCCGTGATTTCTATCGGGGGAATTCCCTGTGTGCCATTATAAAAGATCGCAATACCCTGTGTGCCCCTGGAAAAGTTCAGCGGTCTTCAGCGCCACTACTCCAACTTTTTCGTGTCCTCCATGCCACTTCCGTCAGTTTGAGCTCTAACGCCATCAAACTGCAAGTGTGAAAAGACGAAAATACCCTTAAGTCTAAATATGTTATTAATTTTTTTTAGCATCTTAACGACTTCAAATAAAAAAACTCAAAACTAGAAAGTTGTAGATCTCGTCGAGATCTATAATTTTCATATAAAAATTATTTTCATTTAATTCCATAAAAAAATATGATTTGATATGATTAATATATCTTAGAAAAATCATATTATTTTTTTGCGGAATTAAATGAAAATAATTTTTATATAAAAATTATAGATCTCGACGAGATCTACAACGTTCTAGTTTTGAGTTTTTTCATTTGAAGTCGTTAAGATGCTCAAAAAAATTAATAACATATTTAGACTTAAGGGTATTTTCGTCTTTTCACACCTGCAGTTTGACGGCATTAGAGCTCAAACTGACGGAAGTGGCATGGAGGACATGAAAAAGTTGGAGTAGTGGCGCTGAAGACCACTGAACTTTTCCGGAGACACACAGGACATTGTGATCTTTTATAATGGCACACAGGGAATTCCCCCCTACTATTAGACGAAGAAAGAAAAAAGGCAACTGCTCGCCTAGTTTTTTGAATGAAAACTAGGCCCAAAAACCATACAATTGAGCAGAGTGCACTACACATCCTACACAACTTTGATAAAACTCACGCCACTATTGCTCCAACTTGGTTGAATCGACCCAACTAACAACTCAACTAGCAACTAACAAGGATCGAAGAAACACGAAGAGCTGCCGGGCGACACCAAATAGTATAGCTTGGGGCGCCACCATGGCCAGATGAGAAAGGAGCAACCATGGAACTAAAAAGCCTAGCAATGCCTCCAAGGAGGAAACGACACAAAAAAGCGCCGACAAAGGTAGCCCGCCAAGGAAAGGTTTTCACCTGCAACATCCAGCATGGTAGGAGAAGAGATAGGAAAGGACGTCTCCAAGAAAGGAACGGTGTCCACAGAGACGTCGTCGTCCAAGCTTTTGCCTCGACCTCAAGCACTCTTCACACCATCGCCGTCGGAGACCCAACCTTACCAGGGAGGCAAGGTGCGGCGATTGTTCAGCAGCAGCCCACCTGGCCGCCACCCCTAGGGACACCGGCCAAAAGAAGTGTCGGGAGAAACCCGTCGGAGAGTCCACCCCCGTTGGAATCGGCAAAGCCGTCCAGTAGCAAATAGATTTGGCCAGCTCCTCCATGGATGCTAGCCTGAGGAAGGGGGAGGCAGATGGCAGGGAGAAGAGGGCCAGGATCAGAAGAAGCCCCAGTCATCTAGCCTACCAACGTCCCGAACCTTGCCTAGCTGCCCCCCGCATCAACCACGTCGTGCAAGGCCTCCAGCAGCCTTTACACCAAACTATCGCCATCTACACGCCCGCTCCACTGCCCTCCGTAGATCACCCCGCCTAGACGTAGCCTGAGCAAGGGAGGGGACACGAGGAGAGGGCCCAAGTGTAACACCCTCGGTGTTATGCCCTAAACAAACTACTAAACCCTGTCATGAGCATCATATTTATGTGATAATGCATGTGATAGAATGTGTAGATAAATTTCTTGTAACCTAAAATGACTAATAAAAATGTTAAATAAAAAATTGATTCAATAGCTCATATTATGTCAAGTAGGGTTAAAAACCAATTTTTATTGAGCAAAAATATTATAGAACATGTGTGCGACACTTAAATAAAGTTTGAAGTACAAACTTTGTAGATGGCAATGAAATCCTTGTTGTTGAAAAATAACTTCGCTAGCTAATGCTTTTAATGACCTAGAAATAGAACATGAAATTGAATTCAACTCACGACTTTGAAGATTCTTTAAGTTTATTGACAGCAAGACAATGCCATGTTTGGGGATTTATTTTGCGAATTTGAGTTAAGAGGTGGTGTCGTGTTTTAGCTCGGATTGGTAGCCTAATAGACCCTCTTTAGGATAGTGAAGGCGGTTTAGTGTCAACCTCAACAGTTTAGATGCTATCGACGCTTTAAAATTCATGCACGACACGGTCTCGGGCTAGTTGGCTGCGTGGGCGCGGTCACCACGCTCGGGCGTGCTGCGACGCCACGCTGGCTGCCCTGCACACACGCGCGATGCCGCTTGTGGCCGGCCGAGGCTACTTCCGGCCTGGTCGTGGCTTGGCTGTGGCCTGGCGCTGCAGGCCGCTGCGTTGCTGCTCCCCTCGCCACTGTGCCGCTGTCACCGCTGCTGCCGCCTTGTTGAGCTGTCAGGGCACAGCCACTACCACCCATGGCCACTGCCGTGTGGTGCTGCTGTCGTCATGATGCCGTGCTGCGCTGCTGCTG